CTGCTGAATGTCCAGCATGATCTCCAGCCCATTGCCCGTCCCACCCTTCATGGTCTTCAGCCTGGGACGCCCATCTCGGCCAGAGTTGAAAGTGTAGCACTTTCCATACCGTGTGAAGACCTGGTGGGAGCAGAGCGGAGAGCCTGAGAGTCCTGCCAGTACCCTCTGCCCACCAGGGACTGTCTCCAGACCCTCCAACTGGTGGAGTTTCAGCCCTTCAGGAATGACCCCTCCTGAGCAGCCCACTCTCCATTTGTTCCCCTTCTCACCCATTCTGTCCTTCTTTTCCCAGCTGTGTGCCCTGGAAGGCTGAGCCCTGTGGGGTGCACTGCCTGTGCTTCTTTGCCACCTGGATGGGCTTTGGGTTGGGTTTGACCAATGGGAGGTATCAGTAAAGGATCAGAGGACAGAAGGAGGGAGAGACCAGGGTATTTATCTGCAAGTGTTCTCAAGGTGGCTTAGACCCTTCGTGACCACAAATTCTGCCAAGAGGGCTCCCTGCATAGCACTGTTGCCTCTTGGTGTTCCTTTAGCTTGAATATGACAATTTCCCACTATTTCTAGGTGCCTCAGTCCCCCTCACTGGTTTCCTTAACTCTGCCCACAACTCTATAAACAGTCCCTCTGTTAGTCTTTTCGACTAAACTCTCCAAGTGTTAACCTTTTTCCCGCTGGGACCCTAACATACACACCTCCATCATCTGGAGCCCCTCACTGCCTGGTCCCTCCTTGGGACCCTCTCCTCAGGCCCAGGGCCTTCTGAGACTTCTCTTCTCTTCTCCTGGATTTCACCCCGGGCATCTGGAATCCTGCTCTCCCCAAGACCAAGCTATGCTTTATAGTTTCCCCTGCCATTAGTCCCTTATGTCCATCACTGTTCCCTTATCACCAGAACCTGAACATCCAGGACCTGGCATGTTCGTCAATGCTGGCGCAGAACTATGAGGGCTGCAGAAGGGATCTCAGCTCTGGGGGCAGTCCCCCGTCTCCATGCCACAGAGCAGCCCTTATTGCAGCCCTGAGTACACAGCTATGGAGAGAAAAGTGAACCTATTCTTTTTTTTTTTTTTTTTTTTTTTTTTTTTTTTTTTTTTTTTTTTTTTTTTTTTTCTTGCGTTATGCGGGCCTCTCACTGTCGTGGCCTCTCCCATTTGCGGACCCCAGGCTCCGGACGCGCAGGCCCGGCGGCCATGGCTCACGGGCCCAGCCGCTCCGCGGCATGTGGGATCCTCCCGAAACGGGGCACGAACCCGTGTCTCCTGCATCGGCAGGCGGACTCTCAAGCACTGCGCCACCAGGGAAGCCCTGAACCTATTCTTTATGGCCCTTTCCCCACAGCTTCCCAGAATGCCTCCAGGTTTCCACAAATGGGGTGAGTGTGCTTCAACTACTGAGAGATGGTGACAGAGTCCACCAAGCAAGTCATGAGGTGAATACAGACACAGCCCAAAGAAAGAGAGAGGCAGAGTGTCAGGCTAGACTGAACAGGGAGGCAGTAGGGATTACTAGTCAATAGAGTTTTTGCTCCCTTCCCCCTTCCTAGAACAACCTCCTCCTTCCCCCTCTGGAAAAGAAAACCAGTGCTATCCCCCATTTTGTGGGTGAAGTCCAGAGAGGAGGTAGAGAGAGAACTCCTAATCCCCCAGCTCCACTACCAGGCTTTGTGGCTGGCCACAGGGTCCAGGCTGGACACGCATCCCTGTCTACCCCCCTCCTGGGGATGTGTCCTGGTGGCTGAGGCCAGCTGGGAGCTGCAACCTTGAGCTGGCTCAGAGGGCTGTGCTGCTGGCCGGTGGGCTGTGCTGCCACCTGGTGGTGCTGCCTGAGAAGTGCCTGCTCTAGCCTTAGATCCCGAGAAAGCCAGGTTGACCCCTTCCTTGGTCCATGTTCCTCTACCTCCTGACCTGTCCGAGGCCCAGTGGCCAAAACCTCCAGGTTCCTGTCTGTCTGTAGTCAGCCCAAGATGCACTGATATGATGACACCCACCTGCCCCTGCACTAGGGAAACGGTGGGGGACTGAGAGATGGGTGTATGGGAAGGGAAGGCCTGGCATCTGGCACTCGTAGGGGACAGAAGGGGACCTGTTGGGCCAGACGGAACTGGAAGCTGAACTGGGGAAAGGATGGGGTGCTGCTTGGTTCCTCAGCAGGGAAGGCCCTAGACTCTCCTAGTGAGGGCTTCCCCTGGGAAGAGGGTCCCTGGCCACTTAGAGCTGGAGGGGGGAGTGGGGAGGATTTAGAGGAGGCCTGTTATTCTCCCTCACCACACACACACACACACACACACACACACACTCACACACACACTCACACACACACACACTAGGAGGAGCACAGGAAGACCACATGAGGATGCTGCTAACAGGCATGCTGGGGTGGAGGGGGGATATCCCCAGCCCTCTGCCTCCCTTCCACACCCTTCTCTTGCACCTCCAGAGACCAGGGGGCACCTGCCCCAGCTCCAGTCCAGGGGTGATAGTCAACATTGTTAAGGCCAAGCATAGGCACCCACCACCAGATCAAAGGTTGACCTCAGCGATAGATTAAGGTGCTGACCCTGCTGGATCGCAGAGAGGTCTGGGAAAGGGCTGGACATGCTGGAGGATATTCAGGGAGACACCAGGGGCCTCAGGGCAGCAACTAAATACCAACTATGTGTTTCAAGAGTCTAACAGGGAGGGCAGTACTGGCACAGCCCTGGAAATAGAGCCCAGCTGCAGACCCTGGGGCTCCCAGGCAAGCTCCGGCCAGGCCTCTCTCACAGAGGGTGGGTGGTCCAGGTGAGGTGGGGGGGGCGGCAGGATGGTTACCAGCCCCAGGAGGTGACGGTCAGGGTGAGCCATGGCAGACACTTTTGGGCACCCACTCACCACTGAGAAGTTGTGAGGGCCACAGGGCCCCCCACAGTAGGAGCAGTAGAGCAGCATGTCCTCCAGCCGGTGGCAGGAGCGATTGTAGAAGCGCTGCAGGTTAAAGGGCTCCCCAGAGAAGGCCTCGGGCCCCGGCGGGGCGAGGGGCACCCCGGGGTCATCGCTTTCATCCAGCCCCAGCATGGGGGCCAGGTAGAGCAAGTCGGGGTAGCTGAGCTGGGACAGCCGCACGGCATTGGTGTTGCAGAGAGTGACCGCCGGGAAGGCCAGCTCCGTCGTGGCCACTTCATCTAGCAGAGTCACATGCGGGTAGCTGAGGTAATAGGCAACTCGATCCCCAACCTGGCACAAGAAGGCACCCAGTGCCAGGATAAAGGCCGCTGCCCACAGGGCCTGCCGTGGCCCTGGACCCCCTTCCACAAAGATGTGGCTGGCTCCATGAAGGGTGCAGCTGTTGGCAAAGGCCACCAAGTCCATCGGTAAGTCCCCCTCTCTGGCCCGCTTCCTCTCTGCCTCCTTTTCCTTCTCTTCTCCCTCCTTGTCTGATTCTGAGTTGTCCCGCTGTTGCCACTGGTGGGGACCCCGAACATCTCCCAAGGGCCCTGGGGCCTCCTCTCCAGAGGAGAATGACACAGAGCAGAAGATCTGGATGGGCATCTCCTCCAGGAGGTGGGCAGGAGAACGGGGGAGGAGGTGTGGTCCTAGGCAGCGTCCGGCAGCCCTCTTGCCAGGTCTCTGCTGCCTGGCTGGCCGTCCTCCCTTGCCAGGGCCTCTGTGGCAGTGTGGCTGAGGCGGGGAGGGGCTTAGAGAGCAGAGGAGGACCAGCCTGCCCTGTCAGGGAGGCGGCTGTCTGAGCCGATGAATAATTGATGGCTGTGGGAAAGGGAGGCCGAGGGAGATGGAGAGGAGCGGGCCGGAGCCCCTTTCCCTGTCACCAACTCCAGCAGGACAGACAGGGTCGAGGACAGAGTGGAAACGCTTGAAAAGCCCGAGGGCTCCAGGGGTGATGGGACCTAGCAGAGTCCTCTGCTCTCACTGCCACGACGTGGGCCAGCAAGGGTCTCTGCCCATCCCCCAAGACACGCACCCTCAGGCTCCCTCTCACCCTCCAGTCCACCTGCCCCTCGCCTTCCCACCCCAATTCCGAGCCCTCTGCCCTCATTCCCACCTGGTCCAGTCATTCTCCTGAGTTATCTGAGCCCCACACTCTCTCGGCGCCTCTAATTAACCTCTACTTCTCTAATTCCCCCTGACTTGGAATCTCCCCGATTATTTTATGGAGCCCCCCAGTTCTCCCCATACACCCTTACACTGCAGTTCCCCTCGCATTATTCCTCCGGTCCTCGGTTCCCTTCTGATCACTGCGCTGACCACAATTTACTTTCAGTTACTTCCTGAACCCCTGGTTGCCCCGAACCCCTACTCTCTCCCTTGACCTCCGGTTTCCCTCCAGCCATCCCTGAGGCCATCGATCCTCCCCTGACCTCCGCTTCAGTCAGCACCCCACCACCACCACGCTGAGCTGCACTCCCTCTGTGGCTTGGGGGGCAGCCCAGGTTCCATTAGCAGAGGTCTCTCGCTGACCACAGACTCACTTATGGCCAGTTCCTGGCACTGGGGGGAGGGACCCTGTCTCTTGCAGCTGAAAAGCTTCCTGGCAGATCACCGCTCCCCCTCCCATCTTGCCCATCCCCTAACAGTCCAGGAGAGCAGGTGGAGGAATTCTCTTCTGGTGGGTGGAAGAAACTGAGCTCAGAACCGGTACAGGGTCCTGGGTCAGGTGGAGAGTGTTGGGAATAACCTGGGGTACCCCAAACCCTAAGCCTCGCAGATACCCCCAGCCCCTCAGCCTCTGAGGCCCCTCTCGCTCCCAGTTGATCAGTCCCTGCCCCCAGGCCCCTGGCCCCTCTGTGTGCTCTGATTACTCAGGGCCACTGGTTGAGGAACTTGAGCCAGCAGCCAAGTCTCCAGGGCCTAGAAGGTGACCTGAGGGGAGGGGAGGGAGGGAGGGGAAACTATTAACCCTTCCTCCACAGAGCCAGAGGAGGACCAGTGGGGGTCAGACAAGTCTACTTGGGCCTTTCCATTCCTTAACCATCCCACAGCCCCAGGCTCCTGCCCCCCTTTCCCTCCCCCCTCCCTGCTCCCACATCTCTTCCCTCCTCCATTTGCATGCAGAGAGCCTGGAGTGTGTTGGGGATGGCAGGCAGGATGCCAGGTTCTAGCAGAACTGGCTGATGTGGGACCTCT